GTGACACGATCAGAGGGGGAAAGAGGCAGCTGGTCATTGATTGGCCAACATGCACAACGCAATAGCAGTTTCAGCAGGCTTCAAGGTCTCCCCTCCCCCCGCCAGTAATAATCAAAGAGCAAAATACTCCCTTGAATGGCCATGTTAGGTCACACTTACCTGTTCAGGATCCAAATGGAGCAATCTGCATCCATCCTCCAACCCAGGCTTTCCCCAGTGTGCTAGCAGGGTATTTCGATAAGGCCGCCAAGACACGAGATAGGATAAAACCTCGTGCTCTGGTGTCATCGGGTAGATGATCAGTCAGCTGATCACAGGAGGTAGATTTTGGTACATCTTCTTGGTCCTTATTTTTTTGGCACATCTGACCTCTGGACACCACGCTTCTGTTGCAGGGGTCAGCCACAGCCAATTCCCTGCCTCTTCCGAGAGTGGCCATGGAACTCCCACAGCCTGTGCGTCTCGCCTGACTCTTAGTGCAGTAATAGCACAAGGCTCTCCCTAGAGAAGCAGGCACTTCCCTTCTTCCCCCCCAAGGAGAGTTCTCTTGTCCGAACAACCAGAAATGAAATCTGCCCTGAGGCATCTCCCTTCCCCTTACTTAGCCATTCGTGTGCTTAAGCTGAGTTGGATTTTAGGGAGCCCACATTTCTTTGGGCACCCCAGTATCAGGCCTGGGAGATCCAGATTCAAACCCAACTTTGGTCCATCAGTGGCTTTAGGGAAGCTTCACCAGTGCCTCCTCATCAGCCTCGGTGCCTCCCGTCCCCCAAGCCCTGTTCCCAGGCCACTTTCCCATCAAGCAGGCCCAGAAACGCATCGCAGGCTTCAGCCCTCCCCTCTGTGTCGTTTTCTCCAGCGTGAAATAGACCCCTCCCAGGAGGCCACTGATTGGCCTGTTAGGGAAACCTCCATGTATCCCAGGGAACCGTTTCAGGTCGGGGAAATGGCCTGCCCCCACGGTCCTGATCGACATCTGACACCGCACATGCACAAACTGAGCAGAACCCACAACTCACATCTGACTGTGTCTAACACGGGGACCCCTGAACCACCTTTCCGCCTTGCTGCCTTGCTCCCCCCCCCCCGGGGACTCTCTTGTGTAAATCGGCTGCTGTCTTAAGAGTAGGAGAGAGAATTCTCTGAAAAGCCCACCCAGCCACGCAGTGTTATTCCGAATCATGAAATCAAGGGACAGATCTTCTTAATTTAAATGTCCTATATTAATTCATTGGGAGGCAGGGGGAAGGGAAAAGTTTGTGATTTTGCTGCCCTGGGCACAAAAACGCCTTGAGCCAGCTCTGCCCACCAGCTTCTCCTTCCCTCTCCCACGTGATAGGGGCCAGGCCACAAGGAGTCTAGGATGCCCGTCTGGGGAGTCTCTATTCCCCGCAGGCTAGAGCCGAGAAATCCCAATTACCCCCCCCCTTTCTAATGCAGCGTCTGACCGCACCAAAAATACACTTCCAGTTAGTTCACAAAGCTGCTCTCCTATCAATGATTCAAGGCTGAGGACATGAGTGGTTTTTTGTCCAAAAAATAATTTAATCACAGAAACAATGATCAAAGACAGGGACGTTTCCCCAGCACTATGGGGCCTTGTATCACGGCCAGCTCAGGGGAAGAACCTGGGCCTTGGGGGCTACTGAGAAAACATCTCCAAGGCTCAGCACAGCAAAGAACATAGCCGGCTTCACTCTGACAGCAAATTCAAGCCCAATTCTCACCAAGATAAATCGGTGTGTGGTCTGTACCTAGGGCTGCTGGCTGCAGCGGGGCAAACCTCTAGGAGGAATTAGGGGCCAAGGAGAGGCATGCCAGCACATGACATCACTTCCTCCACCAAACTGGAAGTGACATCATTGCATGGGAGTACTCTAGGATAAGCTCAAAACTCTATGGTTAGATTTCTATAGCAAAACTAACTCTATGGTATAACTCTATTGTATGGAAGGGAAGGGAGCATAGTACAGCCCAATCTCATCAGACCTTGGAAGCTAAGGAGGTTCGATGTTTGGAAGGGAGATCACCGAGGAAGACTCCACAGAGGAAGGCGATGGCAAACCACCTCTGCTTCTCACTTGCCTTGAAAGCCTCCTGCTGGGGGTCACCTTAAGTCAGCCGTTACTTGACGGCACACACAAAACTCTGTTTGTAAAACTGGATTCAACAATGGTTAAACAACAGAGTTTTGCACAAATCCTAGAACGTCCCCCAACATGATGATGTCACTTCTGGTTTGGCACTGAAGGTAATGTCATGTATTGGTGCCCCATCCTCATCTCCCCCTCCCCTCCAGCCGATGAAGTTCCAGCAGGGACTGGGAGAAACTCCCAGGAGACCTGGCTCCCCAGCTGCACAGCTTCAGCAGAGTCAAGAAACTAAATGGCCTTCCGTACAAAACAAACTCCCTGGACAGTGAAAAGCAGTGCTTCAAAGAAAAGGTTTCTTGCCTCGCCTTCTCCCTGACAGTCTGGCTTTCCATACACAGGAAGTCAGTTCAGTACAGAGGAGCATTTGCCCAAAGGGATCCATCACGGCAGTCTGAAGACGGCGTGGGGGTGGGAGGGGCACCTCCGAGAGAATGAGGCCATTGTCACAAGTCCAGAAAGGTGGGGGGAGGAGAGGAGAAAGACAAGAGACCCAGAGAAACGTTCAGACTGGGGCTGCAGGCCACCTGACTCCAGAGGCAGCTCCCCAAACTGTGACTATAATACTTCAACGGGAATCTATGTGTAAGGCTCACAGGCCCTCGGATCTTCCATTTTGGCCCGGGGGGGGGGGGGGGGGAGACACACAAAAATATCTCCCCTTTCCAGACAGTGAATACCACTGAGAAAAGAAAACATTACACAGAAATGGCTGCTCTCTACCATACTGGGCTGCATCTCTTATTTTCACAGCTGAAAGGTTGCAGCTTTCGAAACCGGACCCAACTTTTACAGTTTCTTAATAAAGAACTTAGACGTTTTGTAAGGGTGTTGAGGGTTCTTCATGAGGAATACCTAGACCCTTTGCAGAAATATAGTGTTGCTATAAAGGACCTTGGGAATTGTAGTTTGGCGAGGGGTATGTGTGAAAGCTTCTGGAAGGTGACGTCCAGCTCCTTAACAAGACCACAACTCCCATGATTCCTTCGTTAGAAGTCACAATACTTGTTCTGAAGGCAATTTATAGTTTACACATCTCCCATATCAGTGCAAAGGGAGGCTGCAGTCACACACACTAAATAATCCACTTTCCAGTTGGATTTTGCCAGTTCACACAGTAAAATTCAGTTGGAAAGTGGATTGAAAGTGGATTCTTTAGTGTGTGTGGCCGCAGCTACAGAGTCCGAGCGGATCTAGGCAAGCCGCAGTGTGGAGGGGCACAGCCTGTTTTAATTGCGGGATGCAGTTACCAAACACAACCTCTCAACACTTGGAAACGTCTTGAAGGAAATACCCATTGCAGACACATCCACACTTTTCTTCGCCACACTGAACAGATGCATTAGGGGACATGTAGTTTGGAAAACAGCAAAACTCATATCAAGAGCAAACCATGTCTTTGAACATCTGTGAGTCGTTTTGCTCAGAATGCAAACTGAAGATGATCCAGCACCTTTCAAAGTTTAGGGAAACAAGAAAAGCAAGGAAAGGAGATAACTATTATCTAACCATTCAAGTTTGTTGCGTACAGTTTTCTGTTGCTTCGTCCCACGCATATGGGAGAAGTCTACCAGTGCCAGCTATCTCCTGTTAATTCTCTTGGCCATGGACAGAAAAATCCATGTTGTCTGCCAGAACCTTATATAAATTAAATATTTAGCACACAGCAGCTTGTGTTACAGCGTAGCCTGTGGGGTTGGGCTGCATCGCCACCCACGTCCGAGCCAGGAAGGCAGAGAGAGAGAGAGAGAGAGAGGAGAGTTAGGCACTGCTCCAAGTCCCGGGCAGGCAGGCAGGCAGGCTCCTTTGCAACAAACAAGCAGTAAAAAAGCTCTGGTGTCGAGGGAAAAAAGCCCTGGCAAGTGCTCTGTCTACCTCTCTGCTACCGCCGAACAGGCCGCTGCCTCAGCACTCGGACCGAGAGGGTGTCCGCCCACAAGAGCTGCTCGTTGATGTGGGCCAGGCCCAGTCCAGCAACCTTGGCACCGTTCAGCTCCAGGATCTCATCCCCAACTCCCAGGAGGCCAGCGTAGAGCTTAGCCGTGCTCGCGTCTGCCATCTCCTGCACGTAGAGGCCTGCCGGGGGGGGGAGGGGGGGACACACACACAACAACAACAACAACAACAGTGTTCAGACGTCACCAGTACAGACAGACCCACCATTTCCCTGGCTTCAGTCGATCATGGTTTGGACCCTGAAAGCAGACCCCTGAGCAGAAAGGGTGGAGTGGCCAGATCCGAGGGCTACTAGAATGTTAAGCTGGGCTCCCTTTTCATAGTAATAGGGAAGTGCTGTCAAGCGGCAACCTGCTCATGGCAACCCACAGAGGCGGGAGGGAGGGAGGGAGACGAGGGGAGGGGAGGGGAGGTTTGCCACGGCCGGCCCCTGCAGCATGACCCTGGACTAGCCAGGGCTGATCCTGCTGAGCTTCCAAGCATTGCCGGGAGAAGCCTTAAGACTGTCATAAGCCGTCTACCTGGAACCTCTCCCTGCCTCTGTCTAGAACTGCATCAGAGGTTGTTTTTTGTTTTTTTTAAAAAAAACCCTAATATGAACAGTGGAGTAAAGGTAAAGGTTTCCCTTGCTCAAAAGCCAGTTGAATCTGGCTCTAGGGGGCAGTGCTCATCTCTGTTTCCAAGCCGAAGAGCCAGCGTTGTCTGAAGACTTTTCCGTGGTCATGTGGCCGGCATGATTAAATGCCAAGGTGCACTGAATGCTGTTACCTTCCCACCGAAGTGGTACCTATTTATCTACTTGCAATTTCTTGCTTTCAAACTGCTGGGTTGGCAGGAGCTGGGGCCAGAGAGGGGAGCTCACTCTGTCATGCGGCACATTCGGGTCTCGAACTGCCGAGCTATAGATCTTCTGGTCTGCAGGCTCAGTGTCTTAACCTCTGAGCCACTGCGGCCCCTATGAACAGTGGAACAGACTCGAAATTGCTGTAGTAAATCTCTCATTGCTTTCAGTCCTCTTTAATTCATTCTGGGCCTAAATCGTTACTGTTATTTCTCTAGCGTCCCAGAATGTTTGCTCCTCAGGAACGCCTAGCAGGTTGTCAGGAATTTTAGGAGAGCCAAAACATGCTCAAGCCCAGCTTTGTGCTTCATCTCTGTTTCATCCTCTAAGGTACAGACAAATGTTGCGACAGAAACAAGATGGGGCTTCCAACCAGGGTTGACGAGACGCCTGGAGGAAAATGCCCCTGTGGCTTTGAAAGAGGCAAACGGACAGCTGAAGCTCTTCATGGCATGGAGGTAAAGAACACGGCATTAAAACCCTGATTAAAATGTCAGGACATTTTTCTCCAGTCCTGTTGGCAGCCCTGTTCACAGCTAGGGATTCCTAAATAAAGGTGAAGCAGGGCTGAGGAAATGCACGAGGGAGAAGAAGTAAGGAGGGCTTAAACTTTATTGTGCAAGTTCCTGTCCAGGCCCTGTTTTTAGCTGACCACCTCCTGCCCTACTAGGACCAGAGAATCTCTCTACCCGGCCCCTCCCCCCCCCCCCCCCCGGCACGGACAAGAGGGTGGTTTAAAAGCGAGAGGCAGCAGGCACAGGGAAGCTTAAGCACACCAGCTCGCACCTCAAAAAAACCCTCACCTTGCTTTTTGGTGGAGGTGGGGAAGCTCAGAGGCACAACATCTGGCTTGATTTGAGAGGACACATCCGTCAAGCAAGACTGTTTTTCCTCTTTAAGGACACAGAAGCGGGGGGGGGGGGAGACCGGGCAGCAGAGCCGTCGGTCTTGATGCCTCCCTGCTCATCTGTGACACCTCCCAGGGTGGAGACGGCAATCCAGGGTATTGCGATGAAAACAAGTTCCTGGAATAAAGTGCTCTAGGCCAGGACGAGCATCTGTCATCCCCGTCACAAACATTGCAACATTCCCAGGAGCCTGCCTGGGAAAAAAGGACCTGGGAACATCTGCGTCCAATTATTCCTGCCATCTGACCCACTTTGGGGAAGAGGCTTAGCCTAAAAAGAGGCAGGCGCTGGGGAATCCAGCAGAACAGGGCCTTTGGGCGACTTCCAGGATCCGTCCCTCTAGGGGAGTCACAACAGTACACAGAGTAAGACAGGCCAAAGTGAGGGTGTGCCTGGAGAAGAGGGGGCCCTGGGGCCGGGGGGGGGGGCGGGGCGACTGAACTGACTCAGACAGTTTGGCAGTGGAAGTGTCAGGAATGGCCAAGCAATAAGAGGCTCAATTCAGACATCACAGTTCCAGGGCTGCCAACCTTCATAGAATCACAGAATGTTAGAGTTGGAAGGGACCTTGCAGGACATCTAGTCCCACCCCCTGCACTCTGCAGCATAGCCAAAAGAGAGCCCTACAACATACCCGAAAGATGGTCGTCCAGCCTCCGCTTGAAAACGTCCAGTGAAGGAACATCCACCACCTCCCGAGGCAGACCGTTCCACTGCTCAACCACTCTCACAGTGAGGAAGTTTCTCCTGATATTTAGCAGGTAACGACTCCCTTGTAATTTCCACCCAGTAGACCTAGTCTTGCAATCCGGAGCAAGAGAGACTAGATCCGCTCCATCTTCTACATGACAGCCCTTCAAATTCTTGAAGACTGCAGTCATGTCCCTTCTAAGCCTTCTCTTTCCCAGGCTAAACAGTCCCAACTCTTTCAGCCTTTCCTCATAAGACTTGGATTCAAACCCTCTCACCATTCTCGTTGCCCTCTTCTGGACACGCTCGACCTTTGTCAACCTTTTCTTTTCTTGACAGCTACTTCTGAGTAATTTAAGAAATATTCCAAGCTATTCTCCCACCGCACAGGCATATTACCAAATTTTATCTTATCCTTGAAACAGAACATGGTCCAAGAAGAGCACCGAAAATGAAGAGAAGGAGCACAGAGGAAAGTCCTATGAATTTTTTTTTTTAAATGTCTAGGCAAGATTTAAAAAAAATATTTCCCTGGGCATTCTAGGGAATGCAGCAGCTGGTGGCCTCTGCCCCAAAACATGATCTAGGCCTGAGCTGCAAACATACAGGCAACCCCCCCCCTCGGCTGAAAGCGGCTGATCTCGATTCTTTTACCGTGTGCTTCGTGTTCCCATTTCTGGAGCCACAGCAACAGCCACAATGATGGTTCAGACACCAAACCTTGCATTTCCCTAACTGCGATTGGACGTGATGTCTGAATTCGGCTACAGAGGTGCAAAGCGAGTGCCCACCAGTAGTACTGGAGGAAGTCAGGGTAGGTTCCCATTCTCTGCCCCCAAGACAGAGCGGAGGAAGGAAGGGAGAAAATAGTTCCGAAGAGAGAAGTGATGGCTGACTCAGTGTTAGATGAGAAGAGGCTGAAAAGAGGCAGGGCAGCATCCCGCTCTCTGGCGAAGGCAGCCTTGGCTCTCGAGAGGTTCGACCCTGGAAATCTTTGTTAGTCTTTCTTTAAGGTGCTGCTGGGCTCAAATCTTGATCTTCAACTGCGGACAAGTTGCCTAAATGTGTACTGGGTTATAGCTATTAGGCAAGAATTTGCAATTCCTTCATTGGACTCAGCAGCTTGGTTAGATGCATTTGGACTCGGGATTAAGATTCTACTTGATGATAGATCTAGGATCCTCCTTAGACTACGAGAAGACTCCTCTCAGAGTAACTGAAAGAGGTTGGCTGATCGAAGATTGGAACAGCTAGGCTTTTACGTTTGCTTTTTTATTGTCTGCGCAGAATGATAAAGTAGTGTTGGCATGGGTTAAAAAGCAGTAATGAAAGTCAGATTTTACAAGTGCAAATCTGTGAGCGAGAAGAATGAGTTCTCTTTCCTATAATGGATTAAAACCTCCAGTAACTCTTCCAGCATATTTAACATCTTTGAGTATTTCCAGATACTGTAATATTTTTTTGGCTGCCAGATTAAATGCCATACCGTCACCTGATGCAGGATTCCCTCTTTCAGAAGGCTGATGCCTTCGTAACCAGGGAAGACAGGTTCCTTGGCTCCACAGTCCTTGAAGGCCCTTTATTTAGTGAAGACGGAGAGATGGACAACCTTGTTCTTCGAGAAGGATGAGTTTATGAGCAATTATCAAATTTTCCCCTTCTGCAGGATAATGATCTGAATATTACTAAGACCGTGGCCTTTTATCTTTTAGTAATTCAGCATAAAATAAAAATTAAAAAAAGCTTTTCTAATTAGGGTAGGCTTAGGGGGGAAAGGGAGAAAGCCAGTTTGGTGTAGTTGTTAAGAGCGCAGACTATAACCTGGGAGAACCGGGTTTGATTCCCCACTCTTCCATTTGCAGCTGCTGGTGTGACCTTGGGTCAGTCATAAGTTCTTTCAGAGCTGTTCTCTCAAGGGCAGTTCTCAAGAGAGCTTTCTCAGCCCCCCCTACCTCAAAGGGTGTCTGTTGTGGGGAGGGGAAGGGAAAGGCGATTGTAAGTCGCTCTGACACTCCTTCAGGTAGTGAAGGGCGGGGTATAAATCCAATCTCTTTCTCTCTCTTTCTAAGCTTAAGACTATGGGCAATAAAGCTGTATCATATACGTTATTATAAGGCACTTTTAGGGGGGTTGGAATGCAAAATAAAATCAGTAAAACAAATATTAATTATCATCGGGGGTGGGGGAGGCTGGGAAGCACATTTACACGGACAACTCCGTAAGAGGCTATAACAGTATAAAGAGGGAATGGATGGCACCCTTTTTTCAAGATGGCAGGCCATTAGTGTCATGGAACACACCTGTATCAGGGCGCCCGTTTCCAGAGGAGACACGGAATCCGAAAGTACCCTGTGGGAGTCGCTGCAGTTCTAGTTGGCTGGTTCCATCGGGGAAGACCTCCACTACTCGTCCAACAGTCCTTAGCAAGTTGGGGGAGCCAATGTCTTCTACACTGAGGGAACGCCTGGGATGAGCACCCGCTTTCCTGGAAGGAATGAGCCAGACCAGAAACAAGCACTGTAGGTAACAAAAGACTCTTCAAGAGGTGAAACCAGAAGGCATGGAGGCCGGAACGGTGCATAGTTACTGCTATATGAATCACAGAATCCAGCTTCTGTGCATCAGTTTTTAAAGAACAGCTGGTTTCTAGCCCACATCATTGTACAGTGTTGTGTTTAGCAAGTTAAAACACTTCAGTAATTACAGAGTTAACTTTGTTAGTCAAAAGGAAATCACATGTGTTTATTGTAACCAATCTATTACCAAGTGAGAAAAAGCCTGCAAACCTTATAGGAGATCTTAGTGAAATGACCTGAACTTTAGCATTGTGACTGGAAATCAGTGTATTGGCTATTTTGCATATTGGGGTCTCTTCCTCCCTTCATCTTGCTTGGAGAAGAGGAGACGCCATTCCTTGTCGTAATCTTTTAGCGGTAAACAGGTAGATCTAGTGTCTGTTGTTTTGCATCCCATTTACCTTTTCCCTGTTAGTTCAAGTTAAAGCTATTTTCTTTTTCAAACATAAACACAGACTCTGACTTTTTCTCATTGCTCTGCTGAGTTAATCTGTAAAATAGTATTTTCCTAAGAATACCTTTTATACAGAAATGCATTAAAAGGAAAAGGTAGCAGCCAGAGTAAATATTGCACCCTAACCTGACGCTGAGTTGGAAAAGTTCCAGGGTGTTCAGTGAGGCTTAAAAGGACCCAGCTACACAATATGCCGTTCTCGAGCTGGGTCTAGTTCTGCCACAAAGACCATCTGTCATGAGACCCCTGCTGGGAATTCTGATCAATACCACAGTGCGTGGGGGGGAGGGGCGCTGGCCTCTCCCCCGTGCCATTCTCCCAACCCAAAATGGCCCTGAGGAGGTGTTATTTGTCCCACTGTCAGGCTCCTTAGTCAGGTCACACCACACGGGGCTTCATAGGAAGATAACTGTTTATTAGTGGATTCAGTACTAAAGAACACGTGTACAGCTTGTGTCAGGAATGGCCGTCAGTAGTAGGGCCCCTGACTTATAGTGAAATCAACGCATCCCCCTTTAAGTTTGAGCCAATGGATATAATTCGCGCACGCGGCAAAGCGAGCGAAGCATAGCAGAAAAGCCCTTAACTTTCCCAGCTGTGTAAACTGCAGCTGGAACATCTACAAGGTCAAGCGTAAGATAGCACACAGTAGCTGAGCAGGAGAGAGCTGAGAACGAGAAGGACGATACCTCCCCCCCCCATACATTCCAGATCTATGACAAGGCTACCTGACATCCACTGGGAAAACCTTCATGTAGAACCATGAAGCAAACAGAGCCCCACCAGGCACATTCCAAGTCAGGAAAATGGTGGGGTGGGAATGGGGAGAAAAGCTGAAGCCAGTTTTTGCACACCATGGTCCCAATCCAAATTAGGCCCCGCCCACCTGGGAACTGACTTCTCGGGGGGGGGGGGGGTTAAAAAACCACGTTTCATGCAGAAGGGTTGGTTTTAATACCCTAAGGTACCCTAAGGAGCCTCAAAGCGGCTTACAATTGCCTTCCCTTCCTCTCCCCACAACAGGTACCTTATGAGGTAGGTGGAGTTGAAAGAGTTTGGAGAGAGGAAACTGTGACTGGCCCAAGGTCACCCAGCTGGCTGCATGTGGAGGAGGAGTGGGGAATCAAACCCGGTTGTCCAGATCGGAGTCCACTGCTCTTAGTCACTACTCCATGCTGGCTCTCAAGCGAGGGGGGGGGAATCTAATCCATAGGTAAGTCCTCACTTCTAGGGAAATATGCTAAAACATTCAGCACTTGGTTTTACCTCTCAGTCTCCCTCCAAGGACATTTTTTCTTGCCTGTAGCACACTTATCAATAACCCATATATCAAAATTCCCACCTCTGTGTCCCCCCAAACCCTAACTAAAAATAACGTGGCTTTTATTTAAAACAAAACTGCTCCAGAATCATGTCTGTATCTGGACACAGTTATTCTGATCACAAACCTAGTCAGTTGGCTAAGGACCTTTTGGGTGCTGGATCCACATAGTATCAGATTTTAAGCAGCAAAACAAACATTCAAGTCAATTTTGCATGGCCCATTCAGTGTCAGGGTTTGCTCACAAATGCCAACTAGAACCTGTACTCAGTAAAGAATCGGCTCTGCGGCTCTGCATTTGTTTCACAGAAATGTGATTGCCAAATTGCACACCCACCCAATCACAGTTGTTAGTGTTTTGTGAGCATGTAATCCTTCATTGTGAACGGACAAAGGCCAGATATAACCATCCATACCTAGCAAGACCCAAACCCGTGGAACTCAGAGCATTCCAGAAGAACAAGGTAAGACAGATGGATTTAAAGACCATTCTTCCAACTTCCGTTCCTTACCTGTCCGGCACAGACGTTCCATCCTTTGGTTCCCCCAGCTGGTAGAGGCTGGACCGGTCAGTCTTGCCCAACAGGGAATGCAGGTTTTGAACAGAAGAGGATTTCCGTGGTTGGTTGAAGGGTGACACCTTGTGGGGGAACGAAAGCACTGAGAGTCAGAGCAAGAGCTTAGGAGCAATGCTGGGTGAAGAAGTGTTTGAGCAGAATGCAGTTCCGGAGTGGTTCTGCCGCTCACGTAATGTGGTGTTTGCACACACCCCTTGCAAGGTGTGGGGGTTAAACATGGGGACCACCATAAAACAAACACTGGGTTATTTACACCAGGCTGGGGTCACAAATAAGCAATGCCTGTGCAAGTCCAAGGTCTCAAGTTTTCAGGAAATGCTCCGTCCTGAGCGGCTGGGAAGCGTGACAGTGGATTATATGAGGATTCTAACATTGCCACATGTTATTTAGTATCAGCTCTTCTGCCCTTATTGAATAATCGATATTCCTTGCACTAATGCAAGCGTTCTACCTTCAGGGAACCACTTTTATGGTTGCTTCCACATTGAGGTTTTACCTGCCTTGATTTCCAAACTGAAGTGTTGAGGGGGTTTGGAGCTTCATATAATGGCATTCTGTAACTGTCTTGTTCCCAAGTTTTTGTCTTCCTTAATATGCTCTTTCCCAACCCCTCTTTAATCTTTTTAGAAAGAACACTGTCAAAATGTTTTAGCACACCACCCGGAAGCACCAGGGTGCATTTTTGTTGCCATTTCCCTGCTGTAAGCCCCTCCCAAATGCCATTTGCCCAACTTTCCCCCCAGCTGTGCCACCGGAGGGCATAGAGAAACAGTAACAGCAATACTGCAATAGCACAGGAATGATCTATTGTCACATCTATTTCAAATCTTTAGAGACCCAGTACAGTGCTATAACACATGCATGAAAAAAATCAACCAAAAAAAGAGGGGGTCGTGAGCAACGTTCCTTCCAATTTTTCCTCCCTACTGAGTGGAGCACTTCATATCCGGAGCAGGATATAACTGTTGTAATCCTGGAAATGGGCCATGGGAAGTGCAAGACCCTGCGTGGCACCAGATTGCTGCTGAGTGGGGCTTCCTGAGTTAATGAGCGGCTGCTCACGTGCACAGCTTAGAGGGAACGCTGGTCATGAGCTGCCACGGCGGCTATGATGACCATGCCCCCCCCCCAGCAGCAATGCGCCGTTGCAGCAGAGCACAAGTGGAAGGGAAGAGTCAGGAAAAGGAAAAGCACACGGGAACATCCCACACGTGGAAGCTCCTTTGTCCTTGTGGAAACTCCATAGTCACAGCTGCATGAAAACAATGCAGAGAATCATCAGCATGTAGAAGTAGCAGTGACTCGTCTTCCGAGGAGAACCAAAGAACCAGTAGGTTGCAGGAGACTCTGGGGCACATGTTCTACTTATCTGGGGTGCTGAGCCTTATCATTGCCCCAGCTGACTGAGACTCACCTAACACCAGGGTTGCTGAGAGGCAGGCCCGTAGCCAGGATTTTGTGGCCTGTGGGGCAAAGAATTTTCAGAGGGGGCTGCCGTTATTTTTATGTCAGCTCCAATCCACCCCCAGGCCTGACCGCCAGCAGCCACCCCCCTCCCTCCCTCCCTGCATGATTTAAAGGGCCTTTCAGCTGATGGGGGGGGGGAGCAGGTGGCCTGCCGCTCAGCTGGAGGCCCCTTTAAATCTTGCAGGGAGGGAGGGAGAGGGGCATGCGC